CAGGACATGTACCGGCCGGCTCGCAGGTCGACGTCAACCAGCTGATTATTTTTCTGGAAGGCAGCCGCAGTGATCTTGGCTGTCGAGAGCTCCTCGTGGTAGGCCTTCTCTGGCGTGATTAGGGGTGCATAACTGACCACGGGGAAGTGGATGCGGGGATAGGGCACCAGATTGGTTTGCAGATCGTTTAGGGTCATGCCCTGGTTGCCGGGGAATCGGATGGGACAGGTGAGGGCACACAGCACTTGTGCGATGATGTGGTTTATGTTCGAGTAGGTTGGCCACGAAAAGTCCAAATTCTTTCTAAATAAAATAAGGTATATATTTTTTATATTTTGCATTATTATTATATCAGTATTATTGTATTATATTACATGTATTATATACTATGTTATTATATGAATTATATGTTATATGTTGCATTTAGTTTTTATATTTATTCAGATATTTTTATATAATAATATAATGAATAATAAATATATGCACATAACTAACTGTAATTAATTCAAAAAAACATAATTAATCATTGCATGTGCACCCTTGTCCAGAAGGCGGAAACTGCTGAAAAAACAAACTGTCTACTGCAAAAAGCGACGCACTATGCAATGTCCGCGCCTGCACCTCAAAAGGTCAAATGAAAAGAAGCGCGGAAGACTTTAAAACGATGTTTTTTTGCCATACTTTTTTTGTCCTGGCCATCACATCTTCTTCTGAAGTATATCACAATTTCAGACTACTCAAAGCCTGCCAGGGCCCCGGCTTTTTACTGAATACTTAAGTTTTGCACATTATTTTATTCACTTTAATTGTCCTTGGTTTAGAGAACGCACACAAAAAATTCTTTGTGATACGTATTTGATAGGAAATAACGTTTTATTTTAATTTCATAATTGAAACAAGGTTATCTTTCGGTTTTTAGAAAAAAAAACACTTTTCATTTCTTGAATAAATTTCAATTTGGCCTTGTTGTACACTTTAAAGAAAAAACCCTATAGAAAGCATAGGAGTTTGCAATAGAGGTGCTCTGTGAGATGCACTTCATAACCGACATTAATAAACAAACAGACACGATTCTGAAGGAAAAGACATCTCAGATTTGGCAAACATCTTCTAAGAGTAACTTTTAAGAAGATTGAAAAACGCCTTTTGGCATGAAGGGGAAATCATTTATTATTGCCGACAAAGACAATGGAGTCTAGAATGTCCACTTCTGGCTTAGTAGCCGTCTTCCACCAAGCATAGCAAAACCTAAGTAGTGTACCACCCAAGACTCGAACTCACGACCTTTTCGATCAGAGCCTAGCGCTCAAACCACTGAGCCATGAGCTTGTTGTCTTGCCGGTCTAGGTCGGGAGATATTGACACTCACTGATGAGCGTTCACGGAGGGCTAAGATGACTTACTTGTTTAGAGGGTTAGCCTCTGATCGAAAGTGCCGCGAGTTGGAGCCTCGAGTAAGAAACCACTTGCGATTGAGTATGACTACCTGCGGAAAGCCAGAAATAGCTGTTCCAGTGTCTCTTGCAGACGAACGACAGGAACCTCATTCAAAAGCAGA